TTATATTAATAAATAATTCAAAAAAACTAATTAATTTAATCTATTTATACGTCAAGTAAAAGTTTTTGAACAAATATAATATATATTATCTAAAAGATAATATTTATTGGTAAAAAAAACAAATCTTATTTTATTTTTTTGAAAAAACACATATTTTTTTAAAAATATTAGCGAGATAAGTTGTGTTCTACTAGTTTTATTGGTATTGGTATATTAATGAATAATTTCGAATTTTTTTAATTCATTTAATATATTTATTAAATAACATGTAAATATCTAAATATTAAAATTAAAAATATAGTGTTTAATAAGAACTAGTAGATGCTATAATAAAATAATTTTGAAAGAACAATAATGTAGTAAGAAAGTCACATCACTATAGTACATGTGGACAGCTTACGTGTACAATGAGGTGGCATGAAAACCTGGTATAATAAGTAAATTTAAATCAAAAGGTTATCCAATGCTATAATGGGTAAATTTTTCAAAGTACAATGTATTAATAAAAAATAGTTTAAAAGTACATTGCTATAATAAAAAAAAACTTGAAGTACAATGCTATAATAAATAAATTTATAAAAGTAGATTGTTATTTTGTATATTTTACTTTTTTATTTTCAGATTTATATTTAGTTCTATAAATCAATAAGTCATGTTCATTCTATCCACATGTAGACACTAGTTTAAAGATATACTTACATGTAGACACCATTTGTAATAAGGAAGTCTACCAACTTGTAAAAACTCTTTCAAATGGCCTACTCAGAAACAATAAATGTTTTAGAAGGCCAATATGACGTATAACAACTACAATCAAGAAGTCTATCACAAGAAATTTATGGTCTCAAGTCAATATGCTTATCAAAGAGAAAGAATTGAAAATAACCCTAGATCCTATCCTATTATGATCCGTATTTATAATTACTTTTATGGTGAATCACATACACATATATACGTGCGAATGCCCATACCAATATCCAAATAATATATATGTAACATATATTCACATTTGAATAAATTCGGAGTCTATTGTAAGTACTATCTATAGCCACATATAATTTATATTCATATGTGAATATATTTATATATGAGCAAAATACCCATGCCAATATCCAAATAAATACATATGTCATGTATATTTATATGTGACATACTCATAGTCAAGTTGTAAATATTACTCATAGTCAAATATAATTTTATATTTACATGTGAATATACTTATAATTATTCATGTAATGTATATTCATATGAGTTATGGTCATCCAAATGTGAATAAACATACATACATATATATATATATATATATATTATTCATGGTTATTCTTATGCAAACAAGCCAATAACACCCTTTTTAAATTTTAAGACAATAATCACAAGTAAATATGACTTTAAATGACATATTTTTTTGATAACCCAGTTAATCAAAGAATTTAAAAACTTGATGAAAAGCTAGAAAACATTAATATACTAATTAAAAAGAATAAAATATTATTTTATTTAATATAATTTGTTTAAATAAAAAACTAAATTCAAGATCATTTCAATTTAAAAAAGAAGGAAAATCCTGTGTTTATTTAAAAGAAAAGTAAATTCCAATTGAAAAGCAATCAAATTTGATCTAAACCCAATTTTATTCAGAATATATACTTAATTAATTCTTACCATCCTATTCAATATCATTTTTAATTACAAAAATGACATTTTCAAAATCTAAAATTAATTAACAAAAAATAATAAAATGGAATATATCATTTTCACTCAACATTCTTTTCTTTATTCTTTAACTTCTGAACACGAGTTATAGAAAAGTTTTATAAACGTAACCGTTTTTTTTTTTTAATAAAATATTTAGTAACTTAATCGTTTGAATTATGAAAGTTTGTTATTTTTTTACTAACCTGCATATTCAACCCACCATGCGAGCTGACTAATCCCAAGACAATCACCTACTTTTACGGATAGCTCGAAGTCACCACATTTAAATCTCCGTTATCATAAGGGAATTTTTATTACTATTTGAACTTGAAGTTCGTTGATTCTTTCAAATCCTTCCATAATTTCACCATAATAACCGGTTTACAAAACTCGATCTATAAAATTCTAATAAATACAAAGGATTTATTTGCTAGAATAAAAATGTGTATACCTTTAGTTGTTCAAAATTTAAATATTCATTGGTTTTTTCATAATTTGTTCGGTTGTTGTCTTTTATCATTTATGAACTCTTCACATTCTGTACATCAATGGGGTCTCAAAATTGAATCCATGCTCGATCCGCTCCCTATAAAACAACATTTGAAAAGAACATACAAACAGCAGCCTTCCCAATCGACCTGCCCCACCCCCACCCTACCCTGCCCCACGTCGCGACTAACGTAACATGGACTAAACTGCTGTATATTGAATTAGTCCTCCATTAAAGTTCTTCAGAAAATCCAGAGATTTCAGAGAATCGAGGAGGAAAGTGTGTAAGACCCAAGAGGACAATTCCTTTATTGAAACATCCTTCTTCCTTAATTCTTGGTATGTATATCATTTCTTTATTATCGTATTGTAGTATTTACTTTAATTAGTGCTTACCCTTTTCCTGCAATTCCACTCAATCAAATGATAACGTGGGTTGGGTTTGATGTCAAAACTAGATTCACTTTCTCAGATCTTCTCTGTTCGTGCTTTTATTGGCCTACACTTGACCACTTTATTCGTTGGATGCTAGGTACCCCATGTACTCGATCATCGAAAAAGTTTGTATTCGATTGAGTTTCTCTTAATTGCTAGTTTGAAATTTGATATTCTAAATGGGCAACCCTCGTATACTTGAAATTCAAGTATAATTTGGTTTAATTATAATCGAGATGCTGTCAATTTGGGGTCTCGTTTGAGTTCGGTTCTGGTGTTTCTTTAATGGTGTCGTGGTATTTACTTCAAATTAGCTTTACCATTTTCTGAATTTTTACTCAATCAAATGATACCATGTATTAGTTTCAATGGGAATCTAAAGTCTACAATCTTGCATTGCCCCCTTTTAGTTCTGTTTACAATCTTCTCTGTTTCTGCTTTTTTGCATACATTTATGCACTCAGTTCTGTAGATTTTACCTTTTTAAGGTACCCCTTTTGCTCAATCATCACAAAAAGCTAGTATTTGACCCAATTTGCATGTTTAAATTCAGTTTTTACCATATGGGTAACACTTAAATTTTTCGAAATTTGATTTAATGATAAAAGATCATTTGATGCTTGCTTCGAGCTGTTGCGAATTTGATCCCCCTTTTGGGTCTGATTTTGAAGTTTTTGTTATATTTCTCATGGGTTTTTTCTACCGGTTTCAGGGAGGAGGAATTCATCTGCAAATGCTAAACTTTACAAGATCAAGAACTCGGCCTAACAGGCCCAATTCTTTAGGAGGTAACTTCACAATTTCATCACTAATTATTTCATCAAACATTTTATGCAAATTTATGTTCATGGTGAAATTATTATATTCGTAATCTTTGTTTAATCGGGTATGTAAGTCAAAACAGATGCCGGCCAGCCAGCTGATGTTTCTTTTGTCTTAACTACTCTATATTATGGAACTTTAGAGGGTTTGAAGGTATTTTCCTTTTGCTGTGTTTGTAGGTATGGATTTTTCGGATCCAGTGAAGAAGATTGATGTTGTAAGAAGGATTCTTTTGGCTGCAGGCCTTATAGCATTGTGCATCACCATAATTAAGATATCCCCAACTTTCAGCAGCCCAAGCCCAGTAAGTAAAAGAGGACATTTTGTTCCTTTATATGTTTTTCTTTTGATTTAAATTGATCCGTTTCTTTTGTGGCTTCTACTTTGTTTTAACGTAATGAGTTGAATCCTATAGCTTAGCTGCATAAAAGTTTTAGACCCAACTAACCATGGTTTCAACTGTCAATGTTGGTGTCAATTGATATGATTTGCGTTATATATTGACAAAATAGATCTATGTATTTCCTTACGCTTTGATTGTTGCATACTTTTGGATGAAACTTCATCAACTGTGGTCTTATCACTTGGAATAGGAGAATATTTTGGAAGTCAAATCAAAATTACTGCATTTAGTTAATACCCCAGATGCTAAGTTCATTCAAATTGGCATCATATCTGTGAATATTACCATATAATTAGTAGTTAGTACAATAAAAAATCTATTGACGCCTATCAGAATAATCTGGGATAAATCCACTTGGGTTGTGGTGCACCGGTTAAGGCTCGAGGGGGGGGGGGATAGTGGAAATCTCATCTTCCCTGGGTTTGAACCAGGCGTTGCCAAAACCCTTTTAGCCATGGAGGTTCACCTGCAATGACTCCAAGCCATTCATGGTCAGCTGGGGAGCTTGGCCCGGGTACCAATGGTTACCAGAAAAAAAAAATAATCTGGGATAAGTGCTTTTGTCGCTGTAACTTGTAATGGGGATTCTACTTGTAACAAAATCTAACTTAGAACAACATTTACATATAAGTGTTGTATTATGCATTTGCTTCATTTGATTTTGAAAGGGGCTTGGGAAGCATCATAACCAGAAAGTTACAGTTAATCCCATCATTTTACATTTTTATGGAAAGTATATAATTCAGATTTTCTCTTCAAGAAAGAAACCATCATGAACTTGATGATGACTTTTATGGGTGTCTTATGTTTTCTCAAAATGACTGATTTAACCCTGTAATGATTTGTAAATTGTTGATGGTGAGGGTGATCACTTCAATGGTATTACTAACATTTCACCTATAGTACAATGAGGATATTAATCAAGATTCTTAGATGGGTGGTCCTATGACCTCCTAATCTATCATGTAGATCTGCCACACTTTGAGTATCTGACAATTTTTTTGTTTCTTGTTTTGAAGTTCTCTCGTCATGAAACAGGGATTACTCATGTCTTAGTAACAGGAGGTGCTGGCTACATTGGGTCTCATGCTTCACTACGCCTTCTAAAAGACTCTCACCGCGTCACTATAGTGGTATATCTCTAACTTTGGCGAATTTTTATGTAATCATATTCACCTATAAACATCACTTCATCGACATCGATGATTGAGTTAGAGTGTTGTTTTAAATTCCAAAGAAAATAAAGCAATTAAAATCTTTTATATCTGCTGTGTATGGTTATATGCACATCTATATGTGTGTGTATATACGTGTGCATGTCTGCATGTGTATACACACATACATATGTGTGCCACACCTAAACTGATGTCGTAAATTGTATTCTTCTATGACAGGACAATCTCTCCCGGGGAAACCTAGGTGCAATCAGAGTTCTTCAAGACCTGTTTCCAGAGCCCGGCCGACTTCAATTCATTTATGCTGATTTGGGGGATCCAAAAGCTGTATCCCTTGAAACACAGGCTGAAACACGATACATACTAGATAAAATATTTATGATACATGGGGTAGGTTCCATAAATATTTTGGGAATTGTAAGAATCAAGTATTCATGAATTACTCATGATGAATATCTATCATATTCATTATGAATAATGAAAATGCATGATATTCATGAATGTTTTGGTATATTCATCATGAATAAACTCATGAATAGTTAGATCTCACGGTTCTCAAAATGCTTACAGTTCCTAAATGAACTTTCCCCTATCATACAAACAACCATACTTGTACACATGTCTTGTTTCCTTGATAAAATATTTCAGGTAAACAAAATCTTCTATGATAATGCATTTGATGCAGTGATGCATTTTGCAGCAGTTGCATACGTTGGAGAGAGTACCCTTGATCCCCTAAAGTAAGCATGAATCCCCAATCTATCTGTATATCAGTTGAATATTATTTTCTCAGGCGTTTTGGGCACCATTCTTTAGTTGTTTGTCTTTTGTTATGTTTTACTTTTTGAGTGTTTCTGGAGTGGTTAATCATACAACGTCGAGAAGAAGCTTATAGGGTGTTGTGATGATTTATAGCTATTGTTGGTTAAATGCCTCCAGTAATCACAAAATCAGGGAATTATGTTGAATTCAGTAGCGCAATACCATTTGTAATCCCCTAAGTTTGAAGTAGCAGACTGACCCGATAATTTTGAATCAAATAAAACAATGGTGGGAACCACGAAGCTATTAGCAACCCGTTACTTAGGAATTGCAAGCCTTAGATAGACGAATATATGCAAACTTAAAGATAAAATAGCAATTATACTATCCTTCTGATCATACTTGGACAAAAAATGAAACAACTAAATGAAATAGCATTTGAATCTCTACTGACGGTTAGTGAAATCTTGTTTTGACATCTTATGGTAAAATAAACTTTACATCCCAACTAATCCCTTATTCATCTTACTACTAAATACTAATGTGCATTTGTGTAGTGATAAATTGTATGTTATGAATCAGTTTAGCAGCCTTTTTTCACTGGTATATGGGATAAGGGAGGGTGACATACCTGAGGAGAAGACCCCCCCCCCTGCCCCACGGGCTAGTGCATAATGTGGGAAAAAAAGATTTCTGGTTTTTCACTCCTTAGATATGGTGCTCAAATATGTGTCAGGTATTATCACAACATAACTTCAAATACCCTGGTGGTATTGGAGGCAATGGCAGCACATAATGTGAACACGTTGATATACTCTAGCACATGTGCGACATACGGGGAGCCTGAAAAGATGCCCATTACAGAAGAAACCCCTCAGGTATTCTGGTGTATTTGGAGTATAGAAGTCGGTTTTTTTTTTCTTTCTGTCTGGTGCACCCTGTGTTATCATCTTAGCAACTCATTTTTCTGTTGCATATTCCAGCACCCAATTAATCCTTATGGAAAAGCCAAGAAGATGGCAGAAGATATCATCTTGGATTTCCATAAAAACTCAGACATGGCGGTCATGATCTTAAGGTTAGTAACTTAGCATTACTATTTTTGGCATTTCTTTTGCCAACTTTTTACATGCATGCAATGGTGACTGATGCTCCCGTTGAAAGCAATATATAGCATCGTGATAAGAGTATTTTCACAATGAAATTACATCTATAAATAGACACCAAAATCTTAGCACCCTAACAAGTGAAACTCTTTTCTTGGAAGTTGGAACGCCAACTACAAATTGGTGACTCTGAACCCTTTGGGTTAAGGCCTTGGGTTTGTTCCCTAGAGGTCACCTGTTGAAGGCCACCGGAGGGTTTACTTGGCTGTTAACTTTAAGGTGTGTGCAAAAACTGGCTTGGACACCCATGGTTATAAATAATATGGTGACTCCTATATGCTCATTAAGAGTTAGAGAAATTCGTTACTCCCTCCATTATTAAGGGTAAAATTGTCATTTATCAATTAAAAAATGTAATAATTTTTCAATTTTGGATACTTATTTTGGGATGGAGGGATATTTAGGTGATTAATGATTTGAAACACCAGGCTCATTAATGGCTAGAACTAGATGAAAGCCTTGTAAAATCTTGTTAAATGCTCGAATACATGTTTGTATTTTGTTTCAGATTATAGAATGTGTAATTCTAACAAATTATCATCAACAAGTTTGAGTTCTTATTTCACTTTTCCTATCGGTTGTTCAATTTCCAGATACTTCAATGTGATTGGGTCGGATCCAGAAGGAAGGTTGGGAGAAGCACCAAGACCAGAATTACGTGAACATGGAAGAATATCAGGTGCATGCTTCGATGCAGCCCGTGGAATTACCAATGGCCTCAAGGTTAGTTTCCTTTGATCTAATCACACTAAATTTATTTTACCTGTTATATAGTTTAAGGAAATTGATTATAAAGTATGCTTCTTCCATTTCATGAAAATCCAAATGTTTGATTTGTTATATAGTTTCCTTTTTTTTTTTTTGGGAAATGGGTGATCAAGGTCTTTGCCCAAACTAATCCTATGGCAAGTCGCGACTGTAGGCTTTTGCCCATAGTGCTGAGGTAAGTCTCCCGGTGGCCACAAGTGCATATCTAGATACAGTATTCAAACCTGGGTTGATTGTAGTTTTGTTATATAAATTTGTCAAATGCTTTACATCCCATAAAAAATGCAAATTTCCTTTTCTATGAATGTTTGTTTTAAATTATGTGCTTTTTAGCTCGGTAGACTCTTGGTTTTTTGCTCTTGCAAGCCGGTGGTATTCTCGGAAACAACCTCTTTGTATCTTGGGACAAAGTTAAGGTCTGTGTATGCTTACCCCCAAGACCCTACCTTTGGATCGGATATACTCGATTGTCCAATTTCGTAATTGATTTACCGAAAAATAGAAATATATTCGTTCAAGAAGGAACTGTTCAATTCTCTGGCAATTGCACCTAACTCGAGTTCCTTTGGAAGCCATGGTTATTTACTTTGACAGGGTACAAATGTCTAAAGTTTTTATTTGTAGATATTTTTCAGACCTATTGCCAATACTAACGGGGTGTTTTGGATTGCTTATAAAAATAACTTATTGACTTATTCCGGTATGACACCGGTAATAAGCACTTTCGAGTGTTTGGATAAACAGCTTATATGGTGCCCAACTGATAATAAGGAGTTTTTGAAGAAGTTAAACCCTTCTAACTTATAATAAGTTGATAAGGACTTCTGTAGAAAAGCATAAATTGTTTTAAATAAGCAAATCCCAAACACCCCCTAAGTAGCAGTTAAAAGTGGATATACGTTTACTGACTCTTAAAGGTGTCACCGTTGTGTACTAGAGCATAAATTTGAGTTTTGATTGTTAATTATGGAATACAAAAAACGTAATTGTAAATAGTTAAAACTGGACCTGATTTCTTAGTGTTTTGCACAGTATTTTGTAAAAGATCATATTTTATTTTATAATTGATTTTTTTTTTTAATTTTTATATTGTGGGAATTATTTGTGCTACCACTGAAAAATAAGTTCTGTGGCGTAGGTTCGAGGAACGGACTATAAAACCGCAGACGGAACTTGCATACGTGACTACATCGATGTGACTGATTTAGTCGATGCTCACGTGAAAGCACTCGAGAAAGCACAACCTGGTGAAGTCGGAATCTACAACGTCGGTACGGGCCGAGGTCGATCTGTTAACGAGTTTGTTGAAGCTTGTAAATCGGCAACCGGGGTATCAATAAAAGTTGACTATTTGCCACGCCGGCCCGGTGACTATGCCGAAGTGTTCAGTGACCCATCAAAGATCCTCCGTGAACTCAACTGGTCGGCACAGTACACAGATCTCGAAAAGAGTTTACGTGTTGCATGGAGATGGCAAAAGTTGCATCATAACGGATACGGGCCCTCAAAGGCTTCGTCTTAAAATGGGAAACGTGCAAAAACCGTTAAAAGTTACCATCAACTTTCTTTCCGATGGAAAAAAAGCACGAGTTTAACGCACATTTTGTCTGAAAATCTCGATCGTGATGGTAACTTCATGGTTGTCATTGAAGCTGGTTGGGGATTCACTCGATTTTGGCCGGGTTTCGTGAATTATACAGTACTGAGAGCGATGTTATTGTTATAATGACTTGTATCTTACACGTTAAAAATCGTACCATTTACGGTTTCCGCTTTGGGAGCCTAAAATTTGATTTGATCATATTGTTATTTGTTGATTTTAGGGTTGAAGTTGTAGGTGAGCAACCCATTTGAGAGATCTTAATAATAATAATAATAATAATAATAATAATAATAATAATAATAATAATAATATTAATAATAATAATACTAATACTACTACTACTAATAATAATAATAATAATAATAATAATACATATTGATTGTAATTTCTATTACTATCTTGCTAAATATAGAAGGATGGAAGCTTTATGGCCTCATTTCTGCAAATCAATCTTGACTTTATTTTATGTGACAATTGGTTTTTTTTTTTTTAACTATATGATAATTATATATGGAAAATTAAACTCGTAAATAGGTGAACCTTTGACCATGAAGCCAAGGTTATCATGTATCATTTGGGCCAATAGCAATTTACTTCCGTATCAGATTTACTGGGTTTGTTTGGTTCGATTTAGTCTATAATCTTCGTTCAAGGCCATCTTCGATCATCATTTTGTGTTCCAATTCATCGGATTTCTTGATATTAGCATTGTCCATTCATGACGATTATCTCAGACGACCATATTGCTTCTCGTCTATCTGAGTTTTATATGCATCAACATTCTGATTCATTCTCCCCTCTATAGCCAGGTTTCATCATAGGTTTAGGCCACTGTGTTCGACGACAAGTAGTTGGCCTTGGGGCTCCTCAGAGCCACTCAGGATCCCATGGAATTAGTTGAACTATACACAAAATGGCTGGAATAGTCATGATTTCCAAAAAATGTGGTGTTTGAATTCGATCAGCTTTGATCGATGACAATAAAATGATGGTGTGGCTCTTTAACAAGGTGAAATCTGTTAAAAAAAAGGGTATAAGATATCGCAAGAAATCTATAATGGACTTCGTGTGGAAAATCAATTCCTGTAATGTAAAAAAGAATAATTTGAATATTTAATTTTTAATATTGAATAGAAGGACCATATCTTTCTTTTTTAATGAATCTATTTATTACTTTTCTTATGTAATATTTCAACCATGTATATGTTGGGTTACATGAAATTTACTCAAGCAAAAACACAAATAAGTTATTAATTTTCATATGTAAACCCCAGAATAAAAGAAACCTTTAAAAGAGAGACGATTACCAGAAGTGACTAGTAGTTATCTGACAATTACGGGAGATTATTATAGCAGTTAGGAACATATATTATCAGTGGATGTCCCCAATGATCATCATCGGTGGGAAAACACTCGTTGGTCAGTATTAATGTGCGATCGCTACCACTTATCAACTTCAGTGTTTTGTCCCACCGTTGGCACATCACCGATGCCAATAAGGTCAGCATTGAGCTTCACATGTTGAACATACACACTAACATTAACCACATCAACTTCAGTGTTAACACGTCATACATGTTATTTAGGTTTCGAGGCGCTTCGTCTCGACCCTTGACCCCGCTAGGGGCGTTGCCCCTAGGACCTGCAAGGGGATGCGGCCCCCTTCCGCAACATCTAGTTAAATGCGACCCCCTTTCGCAACATCTAGTTATCCCAAGTTCATACTAACTTACACAATTGCGCACTTCGTACCTTTGGATCTGTATTATAGCTAACTACGAACACCTTCATTCTTTTGTAAATCCAGTTAGATTAAATGATATGATAACACTAAAATCGTCTACAAAATGATGGTGGTTCGTGGTTGCAATTCATGGTAGAATGCAACATCGTTTAACATCAATAGGTTTATCGTGATATAACACAGTTCATTTAACATGAATTTGTATCCTAGTTCAAGAAATCAGTATATCGTATAAACCATTAACTTTAATAGAAATTTTATCGTTCTAAAAAGATAGTTCACAAAATATTATCAATAAAAATTATAGATTTTACATTTTAATAAAATTCACTATCTAACTCGATGAGTTTCACACTCAAAAAAGAACATTTTTTGTTTTTCATATTCGTTAATTTTTTTCTGAAGAAAATCATCTGATATAAAACAAAAACACAAATACCAACTAGAGGTGTAGATGAGCAGAGTTGAATCAAGTAACAAGTTATTAGAACTCAGCTTGAAGAAGTAATATTAGAATTAGTTGAATAACTTTTTCAAAATGAAGCTCGAGCTCGCATATTTTTTTGACTATTCGATCGAGCTCGCTTATTTTTTTTGACTATTCGAGCTCGCTGCATGTTTAACAAACTTGAGTTGTAAATTATATCAAAAATTCAAATTTTATAAGCTAAAAATTGAACTCTATTTTTTGTGGATAATTTATAAAAACTAAATATAAAAAATTATTTAAATTAATATTTTAGCATATTTTAAAACATTAATACAAACAAATCCTATAAAATTCGTAAATACCAACTACCCGTGGGATGAATCCAATGTTTATGAGAATTCATGGAAATCCCAAGACGACTTTGCTATAAACTAAATACGGGATTGGGATAGAATCCGATTCCGAGTACCACCAAATCCACGACATGTATCATGGATACTAATACTTAACGAGTACGGGGAAATGAAGAGGCAAAAACTGGAATTGAAATGTCATATAATTAGTTGATCCTCAAAGCCAAGTTTGATGGAGTGACAAATGGGAAATTTATGGGGAGTTACAATCCCCACCATGGGATAGTGCACCTACACACCTTCATCGACGTCATTTTTCACTCTCATATCGAAGTACAATGCAGGGATTATTATTACATATAAAACATGTACACCGGAAAGTCAACACATGGTTGAAACATGGAAAACTACAAACACCACCTGAGGACACGATCCGGCGTTTAAGGATATATCAAGTCTAGAAAAGCAGTTACATAAGACGATTAGGTATCAGTGAGCAACAAAACATGATCATCAATCCAAGTATGATATGCACTTGCAAAGCATTATTACATAGTGAAGTTTTGAATTAGGAGTGGTCTTGCACCATGTTGTTCACATGAAAGTTCCCATCTTTGTCCTTGTGCACATTTGCCTTGAACTTCTCTTCTTTGCTGCTCCTTTTCACCTTCAGTAGGATGTCATATTTTGCAGATCCTTCCACACACTGATACACCGTTTTAACCAAGTGTTATCAACTCAAATAAAACATGGATTAGAAACCACATCTAGGGGATGCATTTGGTACACAGACGGGCGAGAGTGAGGTAGGCGACTAGGCGGGTGAAAGAATTTTGGAAGGTTTTAGAGGTTTAATTATACAAGGCTGGTTTAGTAATTTACCAATCTTGTTTGATTCCCCGATTTCGTTCCCACCTATTTTGGAGGGAGTGGGACAAAAAGAAATGCATTTTTGTCCCACTCAGGTCCTATCCTGTTAGTCTAATGTCGTGCCAAAAAACGTGAGACAAGATCCCACATACCAAACACACCCGAGAGGAATTTCATCTTGATCATTGAAAAACAAAACCAAACCAAGCCAATACCTCCCACCCGGAGGCGGGGGTGAGATGTACACAAATCTGACCTCTTCATGACACATTAGTATACTAGGCAATACACAAGTATGGGATTTGAACAAAGGACCTACGTGGAAGCCAAGCTATGCCACAATATTTACAAAAATAAGGAGAGCGGGGCCTTTAACGCCATACTTCTAGAAAGATGATATATCAACTAGTGCCTTACTTCGTCTCTGTTCCTAGAGGCTAAGTTATATATGGCTACTTACCGTATTTAGCCTTTGGGGAAGTGAGAGGTTGTTATTACGATATCATGCAACACAAATATTGCACTTAAAAGTACAATTGTACTTTATTGTAATCCTTTGGTTTTGGGACCAAATCTCTGTCCACATCTTTGCAACAAAATGATAAGCAAATCAACTACCACAAAGATAACTAAAAAGGTGGCTAACTCGCAATCCCATAACGAAAAACAGAAGGGTTATATACCTCTGTTTTAGCATGAATGACCTCTTGCAGTTCGTAAGGGTATAATGAGTTGGACCTCTGTTGCAGTGTCATGAGGACATGATTTGCAGCATCTTGAACCACAGGATCATGAACAGGCACCGATTGATATCCTGAGCCATCACAATCTGGTTACATATTATGGTAGCATTTATGAGGATAGATACGAGAAGTTATTGCCGTCAAGAAACGGAAATGGGGATAGCATTATCTGTTCAAGGCATGCAACGAAGTTTGAACTCTAGTATAACATTTCTCCATGATTGATATTCCTGACTTCTTTATACCAGAACCAACTTGTTGGCACGTCCCTGCAAACCAAACCAAAAACAAACCCACCTGAAGGTTTTTTTTGTTTTTGTTTTTTCTTTTTGATGGGGGGAGGAGTGGTATCCAGACCTGGCATCTACCCTCAATCTTCAGAGATGAGAGATATACCAAAAAGGAAACATCCCTTTGAAAGTTATAGCCAAGATGCAACTCAGAAGAACCAAAGACACCTTATTAAATTCAGACCTTCAAAAGTATAGTAACTTCCATAAACATCAATCCATGTTTTTTTTAATGTTCCAAGCAAGTAACTATTGACCACGGTAGGTGTAAAGCTCAACAAACATAGAGAACATGTAGTTCTTTTGCAAGCTAAAGCTGCTGCCTACAGACAACTGATATGTGATACCATTTAAGTATTTTCAAGGTTTAGTAGCTTACCAAGATCAGAAGGTGTACTGGTGGTTTGTTCACCAATATGCTTGAATTCCTGCAGTTCCTTGAAGTTCATCCACGGCTTTACCCACACCTTAGCCTCGTATATTTTCTTCTCTCCAGCGTCAACGACCTCCAATGTAAGATGATGCAAGGTTCCAGCAACCACTTGCTCTTGCACCTTTACCACCCTTGCCAACTCCAGCATTGCATTCTAAGTTCATAAACATCATGCAATATTAGTCTTTAGTCTGAACAGCTAAAATAGTAATTTTCTTGTTCAACATTTAAGAGCCTTTCTTCTCTCTTCTTTTCGATCCACACTACACGAGCAAGATGAAATTTGAGAAAAACAAATAATATCAGTAGGAAAAAAAAATAGAATTAACCCCACCAAACCACTAGCATGAGAGTCAGAAATAAGAAGACCCGCGCTTTATAAACGAATTCCAAATTAAGAAAAAGATCAATTATCAAAATTTATTTAATAATTTTAAATACTAAAAGAAAAATAATCGTTTATGCCTACATTCTTTCTAACTACTCCAAGACTAATTGTACTGTCTCCAATCAAAAGTCCAGAGTCGTATTTTAAGCAAAGGAGATGTTCTTAAGTTACCAATTGTGAAAATATGTGGAATGCTAGATTAATCTCCAAAAGAGCCGTCTAGGAGAGATGGGGGTTCCGACATATATGGAGAGACATAATCCAAGTCTAGCCGATGTGGGTCTCTAACATGCCCCCTCCAACGGAGGCTAGAGGGGCACAAATTGTCCCAAGAGTGTTGAGAGGGGGCTGGACGGGCAAGAGGACTAGACGAATATAGATTGCCCCAAGAGTGTCGAATACCTAGAGTGGTAGATCTTGGCTCCGATAAAGAATATGCGGAATGAAGAATCATTTTTTAATCGCTAGGTTGTATACAGTGAGGGTAAGATCAAACTTCTCTTTGCATTCCTTTTAAATCATGGAGTAACAAATAAACACCAACTCAAGTACTCGTTAATTTTGCTTAGATTTTCACCTAGAATGACCCCATCTTACAACCATCCTCAAAACCCTAGTTTTGCAATTGTATCAAGTCCGAATCGAAAGCTGTCATATTTTGCATACAGAAAATGAATAATCAAGAATCATCATGAAAACAACAAACTAAGAGAAACAAGTGATGTTCTTAACTTACTATATAATGATTCATTTTGTTGGTTACTGAAATTATCTTTGCCTTCCTATCAAATCATAAATCAATTATGTTCTTCAGATGCAAAATTAACAAGAAATCAACAAATGTAATACTCAAGAAATTCCTTAGATTATGAAATCATACAGCAACAATTGATCACCAATTTAAATACTCATAAACTTCATTCAGATTTTGAAAATTTCCCCTGGTTGATCCTGTGTTACAGCCTTCCTCAAAACCCTAGTTCTGCAATTGGTGTTTTGTCCTAATTCAAAACATTTTTACAACCTTCCCTAGAAGCACCAACTCAAATACTCATAAACAAATATATGAATGATCGGACCACCTTCCTAAGAACCTAGTTTAAATCCAGTTATGTCAATCTTAAGCATCATTTCCACCAAAATAAGTGAATAATCACAGAATAGAACATAAACTAAGATGAACGATCAACAACACATGACAAACCTGTTTCTTGTTATGCTCTTGGACAGCAAAATGAGCAAGACTATCGATATCGGCGCTGTTGGAAGCCGATGAATTCTGTAAACCACCAAGAGTAGTTGCCATGGGATTGGAATCTAACAAATCTTCTTCGGTGCTGCAAAAACTGGACTGTTTTGCGAGTGAATTCAACAACGATGATGCCAGTACTAGTAGGATAGATTGAAGGATATAATGGTAGCGTTGGATTCGCATTTGCTCTTTAACTTTACCAAATTCTTGATGGCTTCATTGACAACATTCGTCGACATATATTTGCAACTTTTTTGTTGCTGGATGAACACGTAGCGTACGCGTGTCAAGCATAGCACAGGGTGTGAATCTCAAGGCAAAAGAAAAACAATTAATTGTTATAGAAGAACTGAAAATAAGAATAGAGAAAAAATCTATCATTTTCATTGATGAAAAGCCATTTAAAAATGGATGATAGTTATAATAGATATTAGTTATAATTTATTTTAATATGTTTATTTTTATTAGATCGTTATATCCTTTAGATGATGATATATTTATCCTACAACACTTCTCTTTGTGTTGAGTTAAAGAAGTGATAGTGCATAATGTTGTCTCGTTAAAACCTTATACCAAAATAAAAACCCGATGGAAAAAATATGATAAAGGAAAGAATATAATGCACCAGTTTCTTTGTAATATATAGAATTTTCCTTTAGTCTAATATTCTCTCAGATTCGTACACTAATCATGAGTGTTAGGAAAGCAAAATGGTATATCAATTGTTGCCTCACTAAAACCTTACACCAAGGAACAAAACCCAATGGAAAAGATAAAACATTCGGTGATGGAAAAAGCATAACATACCAACATCACATGTATAATAGACTCCTCTTTTTATCTACTACTCCCTTTGATACGTACATCAATTCAGGGAGTTTGGAAAGTATTCGCATTCCAATGTTTTCCAAATGTGGCCTTAGGTAGTGATTTGGTAAACAAATCAACCACATTCTCCTCAGACCTTACTTGATTCACTTGAATCTTGAGGATAGTCTATAGTTGCTGATTATAGAAAAACTTTGGCAAAATATGTTTTGTTTATCACCCTTGATATATCCTACTTTCATTTGTTCGATACAAGTTGCATTTTCTTCATATATGCATGTAGGATTTTGAGTGGTTGAACTTTGTTAGGACTGAAAATCAGTATTAAATTGTATTCGTCTTGAAAGTTAAATATTGTCTATAATTGTAAAAGTCATCGTGTTTGACTTTTCTTAGGCATGTTTGACTTTGACTATGTTTAGAGGTTTGACCCTATAAATAGGGTAATGTCTTTGTAATTGTAAGGGAAGAGAGCTCATTGTTAAATCTGATACGTATAATAGAGGTTTGACTATTTTGACTTTTCCTCTCATCTCTCTCAAAGTGTTCTTCATGATATATTCAGATCTGCCATAGATTCATATAGAGATTACTTGAAGATTGATCATTGTGGACTCACAAACTTAAACCACTTCAGGTCTTCCTTTGCTGGTCCGTGACATAGATGGAAGGAAGTACCTCAGGAAGCACGTGACTTGATGTTCCAGCGCTTTAGGGTTGGTGTACCATTTTAATATAATTATACATACAAGGTTATTGTTTTTACATTTATACAAACATTGTGTGTGTAGGCTAAGTTCCAGTAGGAACTTGAGCTGGATGACACGGTTCATGATTTATGGACCAAATCCATGCACAACAGGTACTCTGATTGGATGAGCTCTGCACGTGATTGGGCCGTGGCACAGGCCTATCCTGGTGATCAACAATGGGATGGTGAGGACTTTTCACGGATTAGATTACACCATCCCGTATGGATACCAGAC